CTGCATTTAATCAGAAATCAGAGCTCCCCCAAAGCTTTTTTAACAATAAAATGTTTGGAAAACTTAAGAATTAACAATGTTTTTACTAAGTTATATTATTTGTGTCACTGTTCATGATTTTGAACCTGTTGACAGCAAATTTCATCTGCCATCAAGCTGCACGCCTACTCACCCTCAACAGGCTCCTCTGATGCACAAGCATTGTTATCAGAAATATTCAAATCAGTAAAGCACTTAGTGTTGCAACACAGTTCAAAGTCACTACTACAAACACCAATCCCAGCATGCAAATTCGTAGCTTTCAGCTTTTTCCCTAGCCTGTAGCCCTGTGTTGAAGAATAAAAACTCATTTCTGGCCTGTTTACTCTTTAAAAATGCCTCACTGGGTATTTTAAGGAAAAATGCCACTTCTGAAGTGACTGACCTTTAAGACTTTGTTTCTGCTTTCAAAAATTCTAACCAAGTCTACTTTTCCTTAATTACAAAATAGATACTCAGAGACTAAAATAGACACTATTGTAAGTCTGAGAAACCAAAACCTGTCCACATGCATAGATCTTTTTTGCCATTACTGAAGGCAGAGAGCAAGCACTTCCAGATGCTCGGTTTAGTTAGGAAAGACATAAATAAACCTGTCCTACAATTATTTGAGAAAAAGAGACCAGGCCAAAATAATACAATTCTGGGAGGAATCTCTGCAAGTCCTTGTCCAGAGTTTCATGGGCAAATTATTCAAATATGAGTTCAACTTTGAACTTACCTGAGGTGCTAGGTAGAATGAAGTAGCAGCTGCAGCTACCAGCCTTGTTCTTATAAATCTTTTAACTCAGAGCTATTCAAAACATTAATTTATACAGCTGTATTGTATTAAGATTAAACACAGGCAGGCTTTCAGCCTACCACTGCTACTTGACTAAAAGGGGAAGTTAAGCAAGACTTAGTATCTGCTCCATCAGTCTAGAATAATGTACTTCTGGTTTTAAAGCATTCTTTAATCTACACTGTCTCTATATAGCTATACTCACAAAGAAATGCAGGAAAGTATTCTTTATTGGCAGAGAAGGCTTGGCAGTTTGTTCCTTTCCGTGGCAGAAAGGAGATAAAAATCAAGGAATGCCATTCCTGAATGCTTTCAATGTTAAGACAGCATACAAACTGTAAAATCCATCTTGTACGTATATGAACAAGCATCTGCAAAGAGTGAATGAAATACCTCCTGGTAGGCGAGGAGACTCTCCCATTATATCCTAAAGTACATACAGATATTTAATATTAAATAAACTGGCACAAATGCACAGAATTCAAAGGCAGGCATTGAGGCAATTAATCCCATGTTACTTCTGAATTCACACTGACAGTGGAGATTACTTGTGACAAAGATCACAGGACTATGTTTATCTTCAAACTTTTATTTAAAGCATTTGCCTTCACAACTTTGATAGGAGGACATCCTTTTAAAAGGTATTTGCAAGACAGTAAGTCATTCCTAGCTTAAGATCTGTTCTGTTATCAGACCTGAAAATGCCTGTTTTCCCCTCCTCACAAAAGAAAGATCAGTTGGCCTGAATTACCAACTTTTTTCCCTTAGAAACCATCTAAAAGCAGGAAGGATGCTGGAATTTCCTAAGATAGTTACAGACATAACCCCTTCAGGTCCCCCATAACTTGTCAACGACAACAGTTTATTAAGGTTGGATTAGTAAGAATTATTGCTGCTTCTTTACAAGCCTGATACCATCAGAAGAAAAGCCTTGAGATACACAGACTTAAAAACCTCAAATTGAAAATGAATGTAATTAACTATAAATGTTGACAAGAACTGCTACAAATTTATTTAAGCTTAGGAGCAGCTACTAGACAGAAGTACTGGTAGGAGGTAATATTAACTACTTTATCACCTGTCCCCATTATCTCCCGGGGGAGACAGGAAGACAGATCTTTTATTGCTGCAGAACACAAAAAGGTTAGCTGCGAGAAAGAGCAGGAAATTAAAACAAAAAAATGGGAGGGGGGAATGCTGTCGTGCCAGGAACACAGTTAGAGTCATGCTATAAATGAGCAGAGAATTGTAACTGGTTCCAATAAAGCAGCTGCAGTTATGGGTTATGTAGCAGCCCATCTTTTTACTGGAGTCAAACTTTCATCAACTCCTGTGCTACAACAGAGGAGTTCTGCCTGTCAAGCACACTTGCAGGATTTAATATCTGTATACACTTACAGCTTTCCTCCATTTAACCACTAAAAACAAATCTCAATTTTCTTGTTGGCAGGTTAGAGTCAAAACTGTGACTTCCAACTATCTTCTTTTATTATAAAGGCTTTACCATTCTCACAAATAACCATGCTTCAGAATAACTCCGATCCCAAGGATACACAGCCCTCAACTCAAAACGCACGACAGTCAGTCCACACGTTAGTGTTACATACTCAAACAGAACTGAGTTTTACTTTGCATGCTTATTCAACACAACTCCTAAGAACAAAGATTTCTGTCCTGTTTGCCTCACTCTAAAGACTGTGCCAGCACCGAGATTGGTGAACACTCATAAGTTCCCCAGAAAACTCAGTTCTACCACCATGAACACTATGCTTATGCAGTAGAGACTGTATTATCTTCTGAGTTAGCAGACCAGAGATTTATCATCAGTGAGTTTTGGTGGGGTTTTTTTTTGTTGCTGTTGTTTTGTGTTTTTTAACCTTCCACCCTGTCTTTCTTACAGCTGAGCCTAGTCCTTCTACTTAACATAGCTTCCAGCTATATCATGGGAACAAAAATACTGCCGACTCTCATGAGATAGTTTTAAATGTAGCCATCTAAAGTCAAATCTATTCAAATGGTGCTTAATAAATACTGAGATAAAAAAGAAAAAAAGACTTTTTCAGTGTACAATAGAGATAACAACAAAAAGAATTTGCTGGAATATGTAAAATTGTTTTCATTTCCCCAGACACCATTTACAGCGCTATGCCAGTTATTTTAACAGTAGCTAGCACAATAATCCGCTGTACAGTTGGACCAGCAATCATTTCCTGCTCATCTTTATACACACGCACAAAAAGCTGCTGCTCAGCAACCAAAGTTAGTTGTAAAAAAAGTCATTAACAAATACCTCTTTTGCCAAATTACTGTTTCAATTACATACACAATTTATTTCAGTTTTATACTAAGATATAGTTTAGAGTTTGGTTTGGGTTCTTTGTGAGCATGAAGCCACTACAAAGATAAGCCTCACCATTATCTTTAAACAAAACAGTTTGACAGAACTATCTGGGGAGGCCAGTACTTATCTCAAGTTTGCTTTGAGACAACAGGTTAGTAAAACAAGGTCTTAAATAATGACCACATTGGAGAGACAAGTCACATTTGGAACAGATTTCTGAAAGGATCAGGAGTGCAACATTAGTTTGAAACAAATCTGAACCTGAAATAATGTTCTGTTTAAGTTCTTGGTAGGGCTTATGTCTAACATGGAATGTAAATCTGCAAAATCTTGGATCTTTAAGATAGCGTGTTATTAACAGTCTTTTGATGACCTTCAGATTAGGACAAACCATTCCTAGTTTTTAACTAGGAAAAAAGTTCATTTCGATTTTGCTGTTTGAGCAAGTTAAACTATGTGCTTGTGAAACTGCTCCTTCTTTACTGATGCTAAAGGAGGCTAAAAGCTGTGTAACTAAAACATTCACAAGTCCAAAAATTAACCTGTTGTAAGTTGTTTTGCTTCTGATGAACTACTCATCCTTAACAGAACAAGATGGAAACATGCAATTAAGACCATGAATGCATAATGCCAAGTCAACACAAATCACCAGATCAGAGAAACATCTGAAAACATGTTTTCCCAACGCATCAATTATTGCTGAGATTCATAGAATCACGGAATGGTTTGGGTTGGAAGGGACCTTTAAAGGTCATCTAGTCCAATCCCCCTGGCATGGGCATCATCAACTACATCAGGTTGCTCACACCCTGACCTCTGCAGCCTGGGGACACTGTTGGGGTCAAGAGCAGAGGTGACCACCAGTGATCACTCCTCTCTTTTCAGGCTCAGCAGACCTGTGCCAACCGTCTGGGCAGGACAGCCCTTCCCCACAGCCTGGGCACCCCTGGCACTCCCAGCAGGTATGGCATCCCTATCTACTCCGGCACCACAGCTCCGGCATCCGCATCCCCCTGGCATTTTTTGACACAGGGATTCAGCAATCCCAGGTAAGTGTCCCTGCACCTGCATGAGTGATGTGTGCCCAGTAAATACCATTTACAGAGAATTTCCCAAGTACGTAGAATCATAAAATCGCTTTGGTTGGAAAAGACTTCTAAGATCACTGAGTCCAACCATTAACCTAACACTACCAAGTCCACCACTAAACCATGTCCCTAAGCACCACATCTACACATCTTTTAAATACCTCAACGAATGGTGACTCAACAC